CTTATATCACAAATGAATTTGAAGTTTATAAATAACAGAAATCAATGCAAAGTGAGCATGGTGCCACATGCCTCTAATCTGGGTGGCTAAGGCAGAAGGATCACAAGTTCAAGGCTAGCTCAGTTCAAGGGCAACTCAGCAAGGTCCTGTCTAAAAATAAAAAAATAAAAAAGGTCTGGGGGTATAGCTCAATGTGAAGGCCTCAGTTTCCATTCCCCTCAGTACTGGGAGGTGGGGGGAGCTTCAATGTAACGGGAAACTTCTGACAGAGGTTGAAAGAGTTTGAAGAAATGTTAGGCATGGTGGCTCATACCTATAATCCCACCACTTGGGAGGCTGAAACAAGAGGATCTGAGTTCAAGATCAGCATAGGGTATGTGGTAAGTCAAGACCCTACCTTGCTAAACAAAACATTTTTTGAAATTTAAAAAAAAAAAGTTTGGAGAAGTATACATAATGCTTTACAGTTACTAATAAGATAACATTGGGAAAGAATAGAAAAAATGTAGACATATTGCTAACAAGTCTAAAATTCTGCTATCAATATAAGCAAAACAATTGAATAGCTTCAGAGACAAATGACATCAGACTAATTTAAGACAGAAAAGTTACTAGTAAAGGGAAAAAAATGACACAGGACACAAACTTGCTATGGTCTGAATATCACCAAAATTCATGAGCTGAAACTTAATTCGCTGTGATGGTATTAAGAGGTTTCAGAAGTGATTACATTATAAGAGCTGTGCCCTCACAGATGTATTAGCACCTTATAAAATGGATGGGGAACAAACTGATCCCTTTTGCCCTTCCACCTTATGCTATGTAAGGCTATAACATTTGTCCCTCTGCCATATGAGGATACAACAGTGTGTCCCTTGATAGACATCAAATAACCTTGGATTTCCCAGCCAAGAAGAGAACTGATGGTCAAAAACATCAAGGTTCAAACCAGGCAGGCCTAGATCAGCTAGTAAGCCCCTAAGTACTTAAAGCTGAAATAAATTTTTATTGTTTATAAATTACTCGGTCTAATATACTCTGTTACAACAGCTCAAACAACTGTAGAAGAAACATTTTCAGGTGAGAGGAAATGGAATCTAGACATGTAAGATAGGATTTAACCCAAAATAGAGAACAGGTTCAGATGTAGACAAGTTAGTGACCTGTTAGTAGAAAGAACAAGTTTTCCTGTGATAGATTTCACTTTCTCAATAAAGACAAGGTCTGAAAGAATGAGGTAAAAAGAGTTTAAATTGGAAGCATAAGGAAAAAGTTTTAAAATACTGATATCCAAGAACAAATACCAGGGAATTATAGGAATGTTCCTAGTAGTTAGTACCAGGAGCAATTCTACACAAAATCACTTCACAATTAAATCGTGATTAGGGCCCTTTTTCCTGCCTACTCCATTTTTGCTTCTAGTCACAGGTAAAACCTCAATTGTCCGCTTATGTGATGCTCCCGGGCAGGATTATACCAGCTGGAGACATCCTGAGAGGAACCAACTCTTCATTACATAGTCCCTCCTTAGACTAGGATGATCACCTCCCTCTGAGTTATCTGCTACATTTTTTTTCCCTATATACCAAGGCAAACTCTGGGCCTTTCCTCTTTGCTGCCCAGAGCAGCAATGATCAGGCCCAAAGCTCAGCTTCTTCTCTAAGTCGCTGTCATTAATTTCTGTCATTAATTTGCCTTGTGCTGTCCTGGATCTCAGGAGACTAGGACTTAATGCAGAGGTTCTAGTAACATCCCCTTTCCCTGTTCCCTACAATTCAGTGTGCATTTGAGATTGAGATTTTGTACTTAAAATGAAACTAACAACAAAATTGTTTTTCACCACCTGTGTTCAGCTCTAAGGTACAACAAACAAGTTGGCCAGGTTGGATTTAATCAGTTTTGTGATTTTTCCAGGTGAGTGAACCCAGACTATAGGGGCAGAGAAATCAAAGGCTGTCTGAGGTACTGTATGTACAGTGAGTAGACCACTAAATCCAAACTAAGAAAGCCAGTGAAGAGGATATGCTTCAAATTGCATTCCTTAAATCCCCACACAATTTGTAAACTCCTTAGGGAAAACGATTTTACCATATATACCTCACCAGAGCAAAATAATATACAATTTTGTTGATTGACTCTTCTGTACCCCAGAACTCTAAATAATGTCATATCAAATAATACCACTTTAAAAGTCAGTTTCTAACGATATGTTAAGAAAAATAAATTTATGCAGCAATGTGTGCATTCTAAAGAACAGATGACTGGGTTCCCATGCTATTTCCATGTAAACAAAGAATAGCTAATGACTAATTAATCAAAGGAAGATAGAAATGACAAAACACTAAACTTAATCACAATTAATTAACTTCACATGGGAAAATAAAACCTAATTGTTACAGGGCATCTCATCTCAGAACACTCCTGTCCCAAATAAAAACTATAGCATTTCCAGGAACCCAGAAAATGTGACAGACAGGTCAACTGGACTTGGACACTACTGCTAACTACAGCTTATCTTGTAAAGAATTTAAAATAAAATCATTTTTACTACTTTATGTACTCTTTCCATATTTGACTAATGTCAAGGAAATCCTAGAAAACTTGCAGTAAGTTAGGTTCAAATAAAAATTTTAAACAAAAAATTTTCAACTGTTCTTTTTCATCTGACCAAAATATAGTTTAATCAGCTCCATTCAGTGAAATGAAGAAAAAAATGGGTCCAGATAACATGTTAAGAAAGAAAAAAGATTGAACTTTGATAACAGAAAACAGGTTGGGTTTTCAGTCTGTTACTCAAATCACTAAGTAGAACAATCCATTAGCAAAGAAGTGAAGTAATTTCCTTTATCTGTAATATGAGAATAAAATAGAAACTACTAAAGACTTATTTCTAGTCCCAAAATTGTTTCTAATTTAGTGCTTCGTACTTTTTTCAAAGGTCTGTGAGAAAGGGAATACTAACAGTCAATCTTTCAATTCAGGATACACGTTCTCCTCTGGATTACAACAGAAAAGTTTTTTTTAAAAAAAAAAGTGTTTTTAAACCTGAAAAAATTAGACCATCTAAGCTAACTATTGGTAACATTCTCATTAGCATGCAACTATTTCACATTCAACCTTCTCACACACCATTCTCTTTTATTTCTTCTCTCCAGGGGCACTTTCTGAGAACTGTATGGTTCCAGATCCCAGACAAAAACTTATTTAGGAAAACAGAAGCTAACAGTGTGCTACTCACATCAGAATTTTTATCTTTATATCCCCATCACCAACTGCAGAATCTCTATACAGTAGTCCCCTAATTTAACTCTTCTATGTACACTTGATCTTAGCCAAAAGGCCATCAAGCAATGTTAACTCTTCTATATAATATATTACACTCGTGGTTCTCAAAGTGTTGGTCACTGGAATCTTCCTTAAACTGCAAAACTTTGGGTCTCATCAAGACCGCTTAATCAGAAACTATGGAAGGGTGCCCAAAACCCTGTTTTTTAAAAACTCTACATGAGATTCTAATGTGCACTCAATTTTGAGAGCCACTATACAAGAAATTACCTTTTCCTTAATGACTGCTAGTGGCCACCCCCACCCCCACCCCCCGCCAAAAAGCTGATTTTCCTCAGCTGCCATCAGGTAGAAATGCTTGAACCCACATGATACTGTCAACTATTTAACTTGTCTCCCTCTTGTACACAAGATGAACTTAAATTACACTCGGAGCTACAGTTCTGTCAACTGTAAAACAGGAACAGTACCACCAGTACCACATAGCTCCAAGAATAAGAGATGGCTTACAGAAAGTCTCCTTTCCTTTCTACTCTATCACCTGTACCAAGTTCCGACCATTTTACACAGACAATGGCCACAAATAAGAGAGAAGAGAGCACTCTGGCCCCCTGAGAAATGTCAGCGGCTTCCTATATAGAAAAGCTCTCTAATGTGATTTTCTTATGAAAAGGATCACATTAGAAAAATGAAATGTTAAAGCGTTTACAGAATCATTAAAAAAAAACTAAATTCTGATAAGATAGTCGACAAACTAGTGGAAAAGCAAATGATACAAAAAAGCACCTCCATAACTTTAAAAATTTTTAAAACTGAAATTTGAGCATAAGTAACTTTCTCTTAAGCATCCCAAATAAATCACGAAGAATAACTGGACATAATATGGAAGAGATCTAGGGTATAGTAATTATATACTAAATATATATTAAAGTAGTCCAGGATTCAAATTAAAATGCCCTATACTTTCTAGGGCAGCTTCACTGTCAAATTCTTTGCCCCAATACCGCCACACTACACACTCTTTTTCAGTTAAAAAAAAATATATATATATTATATATAAATATATGAACACCAAGAAACAAAACAACACAGCCTTGAATGAGACCTAAAAATTGAAGAGCATTACCTATTACCAAAAAAAAAGTTGACAATTTTGAGAGGACTTCACCATACACAAATCTTAAGTTCAGTTCCTCACTCTGAATAGAATATCCGAATGTTTAATTTGACCTCCTTGACAACTGCCCCCTTTCGTGGAGATGAAAATTGATCAGCGCATGTGACAGATGTGTCATTATACTCGAATATTCAGCACAGTAACAAAGCTGGGGGCATTCACCAAACTGGCATTTTAGGCTTTACTTCTTACTCCTCCCCGCTGACACTCAAGACGGGACGGCCCTCTATTTTCTCTTTGTCGCAGCAGCCAACATTCCAGTCTGGAGGAGTGAAATTTAAGCGCTCCTATCTTTTATAAAGGGACCCTTTCCAGGCAACTTTTAAAAGCACAGCCAGCCATAAACGGAACTGACACCAGGCTGGGAGTTGGCAGAACCACAAACTTGGTCCTCTGCCCTCTGAGAACGCGAATCCCGACACTAACTCCGGATGCATCGACCTAACGACTCCCACACACCTCACAGAGCATCGAAACGCGACGGCCACTACTTTCTAAATACTCAAACCTGTCCCCTTCGCTTCCCGGCCTCCGCCACCTGGAAACTCCACTGCGAAAGGCGACTCCCATCTTGGCCACCGCCTCCTCCCAGCGCCCCGACCAACAGAGTCCCCAGGAGCCAAGCGACAACAGTCCCCGCGTCCCAGGACGCGCCGGTGCCTCGCTTCTTCCCCAGACAAACCCG